TGCTAGTCGCTAGCCTCTCCGATGCTAACGCCAGCTTATCTATGCTAGTTGTTAGCCTCTCCGATGCTAACAGCAGCTTATCCATGCTAGTCACTAGCCTCTCCGATACTAACACCAGCTTATCCATGCTAGTCGCTAGCCTCTCCGATGCTAACACCAGCTTATCCATGCTAGTCGCTAGCCTCTCCGATGCAAACACCAGCCCATCCATGCTAGTCGCTAGCCTCTCCGATGCCAACATAATTAATAGACTCCTTCTCATTTGCCAGCTCTGGCCTCTCAGTTAGCGGGGCCAGCTGCTCAGTTAGCGGTGCCGGCCTATATTTAATCACATCAATAGCTGGCTTACAGAGATATGAGAATGAGGTATAGACTCAAGGATGTAGCAACCGCTGGTTGCACAACAGTCCTAATTTTAGCCCTCATACCACGCTATAGGACCAATGACCAGCTGTCAGCAGAGACAGTATGAAAAGTGAGATTAATCTGTAAACACACCTGCAGCACGGCTCCTTTCTCAAGCTTTTGGAATGTATCAATAATTACCTCAGTATTAGCCAGGACAGTTTGTGTTTACTGTTATACAAGTAGCAGAAATAAAAAAAACATATGATTTAATACTAATGAGGCAGTATGGATGGATAATAATGATCACATAGTACTGGTTATGCTGTGACTATAAACCATGCAGGCAGCCTTTAAACATGAATTCCTTACATGAATAACAGTTCATGGTGCTGATGAAGAACAGCGTCCCTGTTTTACTTTGGAAATACTAGTGAGTTAAATTTTTTTTTAATTCAATACCCTTCTGTCTTGTAAACGCAGTTCAGTTAGTTGCTCCTTGATACTGGACGGTTCCTCGTTTTACTTCCTGTAGGCAAAAACAGGAAGCAGCACAAGAAGTCCTTCAGTAATCTGAGCCCACGGAGACCGCCGTGACCTGCTCCTCGGATTGATTCATGAGAAATCAAACTCCCTTTTCTTGCTTTTCCACAATCCGTTCTCAGTTTAAAAATAAAAGAAAGAAAGAAAGAAAGAAAGAAAGAAAGAAAGAAAATGGTCCTTCTCCAGGTGGAGGACAAGGCGGAGCTTACTGCTCCACCTGAAGGCTATCAGTCTTGCTGCCGGGTGCTTTAAAGCTTTTTACCTCTTCGAACACCAACTCTGTGAACAAACATGTGGAGAGCTCATWTTAGAAAGTCCTGAGAAGAGTTCATGTGACGGTGGCTATGAGGCACCAGTGTWCCCACTATTAATCAGCGTTACCTTTCCATTCCTCTAGAGTCCGGTCTTTGCTCTCCAGCGTTTGGTCGTAAGGCGGCGCCTCCGGCTCGTCTTCCGGATCGTGGTACTGTGAGAAGTACGGGTGGGACAGAGCCTCGCCTGCTGAGATCCGCTCATCACAGTCCAGAACCAGCATGCGCTTCAGGAGGTCGACGGCTAACAGACGGAAACAAAACACTTAAATTTGTTCTCTCTAAAGCAGCAGTAGCTGAACGTGGTGTAATCGTTTTGTTCTTCCGGTTTTACGTTTGTAGAATGAAAAACGTTTTGGTCTTATATCGTGTTTTTGGGCACGAGATTAGAAAACGTCATGCGTACAATGTTTGTACTTTTACTACGTCAAATACAGTATACTCGATGAAGCTGCAACAACGTGAAAATGTGACCAATATCGTGTTTTATGTGGTATTAATACCAAGAACTCAACGGAGTACACTACAGACACACAGCTCTAATGTGAAAAACAAGAAATAACAACAAATATTATGCAGAAATGACCCAATAAAACGTGTTAAACTCAAGGTCTGCGGGCCAAACGTGACCTGTGACAGCATTTTACATATTGTCCTAAATTAAGCTATTTTACTACAACTCCCACAATGCATGTTGATTATTTCACCCGAAAAATTACAACAGCCCACCACTAGGTGGTGCTGCACAGGTTTCAAAAGTAGCCGTACATTCGTTGTGTGAAATTTCCATTTTGCTGCATTTTTGGCGGCTAATTTTGCTGCAGACCAGTTGTACTGGGAAGTGGGAATTTCCCATTTAAAAGTTGTAAATTTAAATTGGAAAGCCCCCTCTTGTCGGAATTCCCTGTTGGAAAGTGGAAGAGTGAAGAATTAGTGATGTTCGATACTGCCAATTTTCTTTCCGATACTGATACGGAGTAAAATTTGGCTGGTATCGGCGTTACTGATCCAATACTGATACTTCGTGATAACACAAATAGTGTTTCCGGTAAATCTTGAAAAGTAGTGTTTTTCAAATAACTGCTTTATAAATAATACATGACATCGTAATTTATGTATTGATTTGAAAGTCATTCTAATCCCATATTTGTTTAGCACAATTTAAATTTCTTATTCTAAAGAAATATATATTTTTGGATAGTGAATAAAAGTGATAAAAACATTTTAAAAGTTGTTTGTATATTTTGTGGCATTGTTTGTGGGTTTGTAAGAAGGTCCCTGGCCAGAGCTAATGCTGTTTGGAGGGGCAGTTTGGGAAACCCTCATTTAGAATTTAATTACAGTCAGAAGAAGCAGATTTTATGTTAAAATTACCTGCCATACGTCTACAGACTGAGTGGCTGATGAAGCACGTGCCACTGTGCGCATGCATTACTCAAACGGAAGAAAAAGTAGTTCCCTCCAACCACATATGATTTAGACAAGATTGGAATAATTTAGGTATTTTCCACTATTTTCCTGTTAATGATATACATTATGTGAAATAACAAAAGTATCAAAGTATCGATATTTTGATTTTAGTATTGATTCTAAAGCATAAAGTTCTGGTATCGGTAGTATCGATAATTCAGTATCGATTTGCACATCACTATTCAGAACTCAAGATGGCAGCTACTTTCCACAACTCAACAGTGAGTAAAACCCTCTTTTAGTAGTGTTTCTGTTTTATTTATTACACACATGTTAAAACGTCATTTCTATGTAGGAAATACCAGGTAGAGCTCAGTTAGCGATTAAGTTTGACCGTGTTAGCGTAGCATGAGACTGGTTTTGTTGGCTCACATTTCTTCAAACACCAGGCCCGTGCAGGAAGTTAGGCGGGTCCAAGTTGGACTGGACTCTCACCTAAAGGGTTTGCTCCTCTGAAGATTTTTTCCAGGTCTTGTGGAGGCATGAAGGGCAGAGACTGGATGTACTTCTGGGCCTGTAAAAACAAACTAGTAAATCAATCACCCTTCACCCTTCACCATGTATTTACAGCTCTCTCCTTTTTTTGTCTCACGTGTTCAGAGCAGATCTTTTTTAACATCTCCGGCGTCGGGGTCCCGACCACCTCCATGATTCTCTTCAGCTGGTCGATATCTTGGAGCAGGAAGAGTTAAGGCTTACAAACTGGGACAGAATCGCAGAATCAGAAGTTTTGATGGGTAAATCTAATTTTACGACCATAAAGGATACAGTCAGTGCCGGGAAAGAGGACTTTTCCCTTCAGCAGCTCTCCCATGATGCAACCAACTGACCAGATGTCAACTGGAACAGAAACAATCAGATTTATTTGGAGGCGTTTTAGCGAGCTAGCTAACAAAAAGCTCCATAATCTTATTTTAAATCACCGTTCTGATTGTAGTGCATCCAGTTCAGCATGATCTCCGGTGCTCGATACCAGCGGGTGGCCACATACCCCGTCATCTCGTCATCTGTCTGCCTGGCTAACCCGAAGTCCAGAATCTGTCGGGAGCCAAGTTCTTTTTTTTTTAATTAAATGGATGAAAGTGAAGGGGTGAAAAGTGGGACTTCCATAGTCTTACCCTCAGCTCACAGTCTTCATTCACGGCCACATTACTTGGCTTTAAGTCCTAGAACAGACGTGGACATTAAAAATATAGCTGATTGTGTCATCTGTGTTTGAAACGTTCTGAAACTTACTCTGTGGATCAGTCCTGCTGAATGGATGTACTGTTGAGCAGCCGATGGGGTGAGGCGGGAGGCCGAGGGGAGGAGAGGACATAAAGGAGACGGAGGTCAAGAGATCAGCTCAACACATTAGCTCTTGCCTAAAGCGAGACGGCTTTTGTTTGCTCCACGACGATGAGGCCAACAGCAGCTGGACCGGGTCACCAACTCTCAAACAAAAGACTTTTTAAACTTATTATTCTCCAGGCTCTCCACGGTTCAGCTTCAGCAAACTTTTGCTCTATTTTTGTTTCTAGTCTGTGTTAATTTTAGCTCTTGTTTAGCTCATTTAGCTTTAGCACTTATGCTAAAATTAGCAACAGTTCTGTTGCTTTTACATTTTAGCTTCTAAAATGCTGTTTTTAGCTCCTAACTTGCATTCTGTTTTTAGTTTTTGTTCGATCACTTTTAGCTACTGTTTTACTTGTTTTAGCTACTGTTTTACTGCTTTTAGGTTTTAGCTATTGTTTTTCTCTAATAGTTCATTTTTCTACTGCTTTTTAACATGTGGTACACATTTTAGCTTTAGCATCTGTCAGTTAGCTACTGTTTTGTTGTTTTTACATTTTAGCCACTGCAGTGCTGTTTTTAGCTCCTAACTTGCATTTTGCTACTTTTAGCATTTGTTGTATC